ATCAGCTGGCACACGGTATGCGGGTAATAACGTTAATTATTTGTTCTACGGGTAGGGGGTCCTTTACTCGACATATGGTTGCGCGCAGTGACGATACGGCCTTGAGGGAAACGTAGATACGCAAACGGCTTAGTTGTATAGAGACGGTGTCAGAAATTCCATTAATGTAAGGTAGGGAAAAATATCTGTGACACTATATCATCATTGGGGAGGAGGTTTTTGTGCTTGAGCATGACATCTGTAGCAATTCTTCACAAAACTGCTTGGACCTCCGTTGGACCGAAGAAACTTATAGTATAACGCTAGTTCTTTCTTGGGCAAATCATTACCGTTGCTCTAGCGGTAGGCCCGTTGGTATATAGTACTAGCACAGCTTTCTTTACGGGGAGCAGGGAGATTACTCCCATAGTTAAGGATAATTCCCACAGTCACGTCCTTTCGGTGGACGCTTGTTAACAGTTTACCATCAGACAGCCTGCATTCTCACGTCCCGGAATAGGAAGTATTTCCCGTTGCCTCTTCACGGGTAAACTTAAGTTCCGGGAAGACCCAGTTTTCACCCTGATGCGGTCACTATGATAACGAATGCGTCATCTACATAGCAGAGCCTTATCTTCGGTTTGAGAGTTTGTGAAGCTCAATCGCTTGGTCGCTGAATGTCTAGTTTGGCAGGTAGCCCGATATTGATGAGCCCATTGGGATGCCCTTTACTTGTCGATAGCACTGGCCATTAAACTAATGGTAGTTCTTAAGACTAAGCTTAAGTATGTCCAAGATGGATATAATTATGTTGCAATATCTGCTGAGTAATCTACGGCAGCAGAACAGGAGAAACGCTACTACAATATCGTGATGATCTTCGGCATCTTCCGCACTATTTTTTCAGGTTCAAATAAAATGAGTTGGAATTCTAAATTAACTTGGCGACTGATTTGTCTCTTAAATTGTCTAGTCGAGGTCTCTAAACTGATATTTAGGGCTGTATAGTGACCCTCACAGCTAGTCCAACATAGCATGAATAACAAGTTTAGGATGCCAACAAAAGGACCTGCGCAGTCAGATACTCATGCACAACATCTTCATCTGCACAGATTAGGCATGCGTTTTTTTACAGCAGACGATAAAATAGACGGGATGACGTAGTAAAGTCCAACTCCACATCTATTTCACCTAATTTATTGGGCTTTAGAAGGCAGTATTGCGAGGCTGAATCGGTGCGAAACTGTGCAAAACACAGGGGAACAACAGGAAGTCATGGTAAACCGGCTGCCAAAAGTTTGCTTTCATCCAATCATGGTCGGCAGAATAGGGGGATAGCGTCAACGCACTGTCTCCTGTCTACTTCAACGTATATACATTTTGCATCCGCAGCTGCCGACATATTAAGCAGTTCATCGACGACCACCGTGCACACATGAACATTCAAAGGACGCAAGTGAAACCTCCCGACAGCATATGTATTCAGTACTGTGACAAAGGTCCCTGTGAGGATAAACCCAAGCTCATCCGCTCCGATATCAACGAAAAATTGGAGGCTTTCTTCTTGGAGATGGTGGTTAGCGCCTGTAAGATCTATGAGGACGACTATGACCTCGCCTGTGCTATAAAGCGATGCCTGGACAAGAAGTTTGGTCCGCAGTGGCATGTGATTGTGGGAGAAATGTTCGGCAGGTCAGTCTTGTTTCTATTTTGTCCTTTATGCTAAACGTCCGTTTTTCTTATGAGTATGAGCCAGAGAATGTTTCGCCTTGTGCGTTTACTTTTGACATTATTAGTTATAGGAGCATTCGAAATTGATGACTACTGGTAGTAGTCTATATCTGTATTGAAGTGGGATCTGAATAATGAACATAACCTACATGCAGGCAAGGTGATTGGGACTTATATCTATGATTATATTTTAGGACAAAACATGCTGTCTACGGCTGGACTAGGTTCAAACTATGTACTTGTAGGAGTCCAGAAATGGCAGGACTGGTAAAAGATGGTGTGTTCGTCAAATGTTTGCCATAGGGTTGACGCTCGTATTTGTCGTCTGTTTTCCTCCGAGTGCAGGGAGTTGGCTTTCGAAATGACGAGACAAAGTCCAAGTATATATCTGCTTAATTTGGTGAATGAAGGGAGAAGGAGTGCGGTGGTGTCTAAGACTGTATGCTACTCTGTTGTCGTTTTATTGAATCTACTTCAAAAGAGGGTTTGTTTTACTTTTACGATAGGTATTACCTTCAGTTCATTTAAGAAGAGGAAAATATAGAAAATATAAGTCGTAAAACGAAGGAAAAAGCGTATGTAGTTGGTTACTTCGGGCATAGTTACTCATCTTATTACCGAGTATTAGCCAAAAGACACCAGCCTCTTAAATGTAGTGAAAGCTAGAAGTGAAGATCATGAAAAGCTTTCCTATAAGCTATGTTGCTAACAATAGATTTTTGAATGGGATATGCGGACGTTTTTCCGAGAAGGGGCTGTAGCACATGGGATACACGAGATAGGATCCATAGATGATAGGCGGAAGCAATGGAAGAGTTTGAAGCATTATGCAATTTATATTAAAAGCCAAATGATCAACTCAGAAGTTGTGGGTTCAATGCCTCAAATGTTTAACATCACGACGTAAAAGACTTCAGCGATACTGGAGGTTCATAGTTTTTCTTAATTCATCTCTTCACTAGAGGAGGCTACAGCTAAACTTTTCAGAGTTTAAAAATAGTCAGTGGTTGAAGGCTATAGGCATATATCGTTATATGATAGTTATAAATGAGTTGTTTTCTGACGATGAGCTAAAGAAACCGATTCGAAAACTCAGGCAATAAACAGCATTATTTCCCAAAGGACTTTATTGTTGATAAAATATATATGTCCATACAATATGGCGAATGCCACATGCAAATGCCTGAGTGTGTAAAAGTTTGATCAATATTCGCATACTGGCGTAAAAGCATTAACGAAAAAGTAGAGATAACTATGAACAGCAACAGGCACACTTAGTACTCAACACAAATATAAGGTGTAGCAATTGCTTGTTATGAAAAATAAAATTTGTATGATATTCCCCAAGATCCGGAGACGTAAGAAAAGCTATAATTTAGAACAATAAATTTAATTTTTTTCTAAAGTTGAAAAACGAAGGTAAACAGTTTCTTCATAAAAAGGAGGGTTGCGTTCGGTGTTCCTTTGACTGGGTGAATATATACACATGCAGTATGTCAAGTCCTGCGTACCACTTTCCTGACGAAATTTTACTCGGTAGTTAAGCATGAATTTGGACAGGTTATTTTAAACTGAATGAATTGAATAATAAGAAAAGCCTTATTTTGGAAAACTGTCCTCTTACTTAAAATTATGGGTCTAAATAAGCACTAATTTTGGCTAAATATGGAATGCGTTTATGTGGAAGGAAGTTTCTATGCTATAAAGTACGACAGAACCAAAAAGTTTATTAATATGCATTGTGCTATGGAAGAATTCCAGAATAAGTAAAAAAGTGGAAAATTTTACCCCTTCCAGAACTTAAAAATTGTGAAGTTGCTCAAATTGAATTGAAGCCAAGTTTTATTAACGGCATTTATTTTCACAAAAATGCAACAATTTAAGCTTTAAAAGTTATGTTTAACTAACTTGTGAAGTTTTTTATGCACAAAGGCAGTAACAAATAGTTTTCGTCGCATTTTGTTTTACCGCACGGCTCACCTTGCCGTATAGGCAAGGTGTCGGCATATGTTACCGCGAAGGTAATGAGAGGAAGGCATTATTGAATTTAAGTCATGTAGTAATACACTTTTTTGTAAACTATGCGTTCCGTGTATGCTTTATTAAGAGACCATACAGACAGAAGAATCAAAAGCATTTCAAGAAATGGCCGTATATATGGTCAGTATATTTTGCATTAGCAAGCTTATAGCAGATTGTGGAATTAATTCGTTTGTGCGGAATAAACGGTTATAAAGACATAAGTAAATTATTTCATCTCCAGTCAAATTGCATCGTTTATCTTCAACTAAATTAAGGAAATTGTCAAAATTATCCATTTTTATTGTGACATCACCTTGGAACAAGTTAACATAGACAGCAGTTCCTCAACTGATTACCTAGTTTAAACTCTTTTTAAAGAGGTAACCTATTATGGAAAGTTGTTTTATTAATCTTAAGAATGACGATATCCGAATCATATTGCGGACGAACTTTATGCTCGACACTGTAGGGTTTTGTTTTGAGGCATTGCAAAAATGACTCACATGACCATCTTCATAAGAACTAATATCCATAAACTCATTTTTCCGGAATATCCTCTTTATTTATATCTTATTTTAAAATTGTTGATGCAAACGTGAAACAGAAGCGCAATTTATCGATGAAGACGCATAAAAACGATCGAAATTATGCCAGACTTTACTGGACGATATTCAATATATAGTTATCCACTAATGATAGTATGTAAAAAGTATTTTGACTAAAGAAAAGTTATTTTTATCCAATGAAGTTGGTCACATTCTATTTTCAACTTATAAAAAGATTTAAATCAATTATTCCGATTTATAGCGATTTTTGTGTCTCCGGAACTTTGGCATTATCGGGAAAATTTTCTTTTTCTTAACAAACACTTAGTCTTTCTTATAGCTCTTTTAAGTAATCAATATGCCTAATGCTGCTCATTATTACTTATAAGATTTCGTTAGTGCGTTCTCGCTGGTATGCGGGTAATGTGTAAACTTTAACAAAATTAGGCCTGTTACATGCAGCACTCGCTATCTTGTTTAGCCGATAAAAAATGACTGTTTAACGGACCTAACTTCTTGGAGCATCCGACTTGTTAACACTCATCTTAGGTGCTTCTCGATTAAGGATAACTAAAGGTTCTAATTATCCAGAACTGGTCATGCCCGTCTCTCTGGTGTTCTTCTGTAGCGTCTTTCCTTGAGGAGGACATAAACGGGATGGCGAATTCCCTGAACTTTTAGATTTGTTCCTTTTCTAAGCCTCCTAAAATTCCTAAAAAGCAAAAATACTGCCTTGTTAACTGAAACTCTCTGATCAAGCTTATTATTTTCCACATAACTGGTAGTGAGTCAAAAAATGGTAGTAATCACTATAAAAGCGCTTGAGTATAGTTTCGGAGAAATGCTCATTGCACTGACTTTGTCATACCGAAAAACTTCGTTCTCCACAACTCTGTGTACGATACCTTATAAGGATTCAATAAGCTGCCCCACTTGTCTGCCATCTGTTTCTTTTACTTTTTAGCCATTTCGAACATCAGCCAAAGAGCTTCGTCTACATTAACCATAAGGGAAAGTTCTTTCTTATGTTTCGGTTCGGTTGAAACCTTCTGAACACTTTCAAGACAGCTTCTGTATCAGATCAAATCAAATTACACTTTCTAAATAATATTGCCCTCCAGCACACCGCATACACGTCTTTTCTGCTTATAAGTCGATGTCGGGCGTCAAGCATATTACATCCTGGGTTCGGTTGAAGTCATCAACCATAGAAAAAAATAAACCTTGCCAAGATATGTTCATCTAAGAGGTAGAAGTAACAAAGAGTACGCGAGTCTAGCCGCGTAAGTTGTCTGGGTAGGGTGGTCTCAGAGGTTTTGCCCATCGATTGACGAGTTTAATCGGTTTCAGCACCGGGCTCGTCATATGAAACAGTTGCCCTACGAAACATAGCCAATCAGACTCCACCAATTCACTGATTGGCTGTAGGCTCCCGAGGACCAACGCCCTAGGGTTAAGCCACACACACGGACAGCTCGTTGGGTAATCGCAAGCGCGTCATCCGAAACAAATTATCTGCTTGTGGCTCGCCCATTACGTGAACCGCTCCTGGGGGGATCTGTTCATTACCAAAGTCTCCACTGTACTGGGGATATATTTGACTATCATTCAATGCAAGGTCAATGTATTTGGTCTCATTCTGTCATGGCATGATTACGTGTTCAGTGGCTGTCTAGGATGATCTAGGCCAATTAAGGACTGTGGTCTAGAGAGGTAGTTGACTTTTATAATGAGTTATATGAGGGTAATACTAGCTTAATATGCACCGAAGGCTGAGAGAGGACTACCGCCCCAACAGTCTTAGACTTTGGATTTTCAGGTCATTCTCAACATCCACTAATTTAAGATCAACTCTGGCAAATGCTATTTCTATCAAATTTGTGTAAAGATTACTGCTCCTATATTAGTGGTGGTCTCTTGGCAATGATGTATCACTTGAAAGGCTAAGAAGTTAGGCTGCAATTAGTGCTTAATTATGCCTTTATAGGACTGTCCATCAGGTGGGACGCCAGACGATAGATTCTTGTTCATCTGAAAACATTAACTTACTGGGCGCGTTCCAGGCGATTTGCGGCCGTGTAGCCGGACTTCCGAGGTGTACCAGTTCGTGTGATCGGAGGGGCCGTATTCCTTTCGGATTCCGTCGGTCGCATGAGAGTGTGAGCATGCCTAAAACTGCTCGAAACGCGACTTATATGGCAAGTGAATTTCGATACTGAAAATAGTAGGTTTAATAGTCCAGTCAGAGAATTCTGTTTTCGGCATTCTAATAGGTCCGTCGGCATTTCAGTAGTGCTCATTTGGAAATGACGTTTAAAATGGTGGTCTAAGCGTCGACATGTAATTATACCATACGACGGCCTCTAGGCTACTGCCATTCAAATGGGAGATCAGACAACCAGCGAACATGCGAGTCCCAGATAGTAGTTGCGAAGAAGACGACTCGATCGCTGGGATAATACATTAATTCACCTGACGTTTTGATATCCGTCGCGGATTCGTCATTAGAGACATAATCATAGAACATTAGCAGATACGGATAGCGTATGCACAGCAGTTTGCAGTTTTAAAAGATACCGTCGTTAATGCAAACATACAACGACCATTAACGATAATTGTCTTCTTGTATGCTCATATGTTTTTAGATTACACGCGGTCTCTGACCTGCTGAAATTCCATGACTCGTGGTGGACGCGGGCGTAATGGTTGCTCAGCCATCTGGCGCCCCGGTGTTGGCGTAGGATGCGATCGCTGTAAAAAGAAGTTAAAAAGCCGCAGTTACTGACATGAAATGGCTAACGTAGGAGCAAAAACAAACGCGAGCCTGTCAGGATGAAGAAAACGGGCCAACAAAAACATAATATTTTGGGTATATTTTTCTTCTAAATATATTTCTGATAAATATGAAGACTGTAGCAAACTCTAGCAGACACTCAGACCCTCATCTACCTCAGCTGGCTGGTTGGCAAGGCAGAATCGGATGGACCAGAAGTGGATCCGGCTACGCGTGCCACATACCGCCTGGGCCGCGCAGGATGGAGCACGTTTTCAAAAAAACAAGAATAAGTAGTCAAAAAAAAGATGCGATCGCTGGGGCAAGAGCCTCCTTTCCGGACTTTGCGAAGTCCGTCGGGCATTCCTTATTGAGGACATCAAGATAAACAGTAGCAGAAAGGGGTTATTCTTGCGCAGGGAGATGTAGTATTTTTAGGGGGAAAAACGTAGTATGATACTGCACACTTAGGATAATTAACGACTCCTCTATCGAGGAAATTGCCTGCTTGTGCGCTAATTGCTTGATGACATGCATGTGGGCAATGATCTGTTGAACCTTCATCAGACGTAATGGAATTGGACGTGATGCTTGCTCGGCCATCTAGTTACCAGGCGTTGGCGTAAGATGACGCCTTGGTTCGTAAGTTCTCAAGTGCCGACTTACTTTGCACACATTGAGCCTGAGAACCGAATATGGATTTAGCAGGTCCTTGCATTCGTTTGTAGACTGTGCGCCCGTGAACCATGACTCAGTGAAATCCCGACTCACACGATTGTCGGCTACCGCGCGAATTTCGGGCCAGTCAAATTTGAATGTGCGCCGGGTCTCCTCGAATGAGCCCCACCTTTCGATTTGGCGACATTTATCTGCACTGTTGCCGTCTAGCCGGAAATTCGCGTCTTGAAAAGTCTTCCAGTTTCTCCGACATAGTTGCTTTGTTCGCAACTGTATCAGATCCTATAGAAGACACTAGACGTTTCTTTCCGTGGAAGTAGATCTTTTGGTTCCATTGTGTGATGCATTTTGGGTTTCGTCCGGCCTAGGTGCGACTCCGACTTCAAGTGGTGGGAAATGGCAGTGACGGGCCTCCGAGACGTTTGTGACGTACCGCATCACTTTCTAAAATGTTGGATCGCTGCGATTCTGTTGCAAATCTCTTTTGCACGTGCACGGTTGATGAGTTAGCACGACGGAACCATTTTCTGCTAACTTGCAGTACATCGATCTAAATTAAGCTTAATGCGCTCAGTCTGTGTTAGGCCACAATGGCTCTCCCTGTCATGTCATGGTCGCAAGTTGCCACCCTATGTAACAATTACGTTTGCAGAGGGCAGTTGGAGAAAAAAAACCTAAATAAATCGGTTCCGTCCTGACCTGGATTTGGTCTGTCATCCATGCGCCTTGCAGCCAGATGTTTGTGTACTTTGCTTGTATCCAGGTCTGACTAAACACACACTTTCTTTTGCAGACGACTTCCGTTAAA